CATATGAATATATTTGCTTTAAATTGCATAGGGTGGGGATCAATTTACAATGAATTTCCATAGCAAACCGAACATGCCTTGTTAACTTTTATAAGATTTAATAAAAATCTTTTTTAAAGATATTTGTGATCTGGAGTGTTTAATATCTAGTGATATGTAAGAAATATTTTTGTAAAAAGTTATTATTTGTGGTCACAGTGCCTTTTTTATCAAAAAAAATCTTTAAAAAAATTAAAAACATTTCAATAATTTACAAAATGACAACATCTATAACATCACAAAATATAATAACGAAATAACTTCATAAATACAGTAGGATAAGAAAAATTGATATTACTAATTACATATTTTTTTTACTCATAAAAAACAAATAAAAAGTGAATGTACAAATATATGAGGTTGTTCTGAAAAGTTCTTGGTCCAACCAGCTTCATAAAATTTAGCAAAATTACCAAACATCAATTTTATTCTTTTTTAAAATCAAGGCAAGGCACTAAAGCCACTAACACACAAGGGGTTACAGGGTGTGAAAGAATTAGAAAATATAGAAGAGTAATAGGAAGACAGTAGATAATGATTGACATTGTATTCAAAATTGACTGGAAAGCTAGAAGCTGGATAAAAGAAACTGTTAGCATAGAATTTACGGTTACATCTAGCCAATTCAACTTTTTTGAAAGGATTATTATTCAGGCTAAGAAATTTTCAGGAGCCATGGCATGTAGAAATTCGGGGTGGGTGGGGTTTTTTTGGTCATTTTATTACTAAATAACAATATAAAACTGATCCCACACTTCATGAACTGTAGAATTTTATATTAATATGACAAGGGAGTGCTGAAAAATCCTCAGCCCTTTATACTTCCTAAAATTTGACAGAAATGAACAAATATATTTTAGACTTACTTTTTGCTCAGACCAAAATTTTTCAGCACCCCCGAGTTTAAATATACAAGAGAGTCAGAAAGGAATAAAGAGTGAAATAGAGACATCAGTAAATTCATTATTCTAAGTTTAGTTTGCAAAAGGATTATTTCTCCCTACCCACACTCCTAAAATTTGTGTTCACTGAAAATGAAGACTTTACATCAATCACTCAGTCCCTATTGATTTATATCCATTTTATATGCACAAATGATGAAAAAAAATAATTTAACTTTAGTATACACTATTCTTTAGTTACAAATATTTCACAGTAGAACACATTGATATTTTTGCATAGTTGATCGGTACACAATTCATAATATATATATATATATATATATATATATATATGTGTGTGTGTATAAAAATTTCAGACAGTGTATATCTGTAAAACGACAACACGAATAAAGACAAATGGAAAACTTATCTTAACGTTCATGTTTCATCCTTTGAGGGATTTTATTACATTTGCCTTGATAAAGTCCCTCAGAGGACGAAACACGTCAGCTAAGATAAGTTTTCCTTTTGACTTTATATATATATATATATATATATTTTTATATTTTGAACAATAAAAAAATATTCAAAAATTAAAATCTTCAGACACACTAGGTAATATTCTTTCATTTTTTTTGTTATTATTTTATTTAGATTCCTTGACTAGTTTTGGCCAAAATGGCCATCATCAGAAGAAATATTTCTGCTTGCTCGTAGCAGTGAACTACAGAAATGAATATATATTTTTATATTTATTTCATTGCATATCTTGGCTCTGAAAAGAGTCAAATTCCGTGAATAAAAGGGAATCTTTAGGGTTCTCATGGATCAAATAAACTTTCTTCAAATATATAGTTTGTCACTTGTCAACTATTTTCTCTACATATGTAAATATAATTGTACATCTGATAAAAAACAAAGAAAGTTCTTTGTGGATTATTTCTTATTTACTTTTTCAATATTTCCAATACATTTTTTCAATACCAACTGGAAATTAAAAAAAATTAGTAGAAAGATTGAAAAAACAAATAAAATTAAGTTACAAAGAACTTTCATTGTTTTTTAATCAAAAATGCATATATATATATATATATATACATACATACACAGTGAATCTGTAGCCTAATGATGAAACAAATCTTTATTTATCAACATTATATCAACCTTGTCAATGCACTTAATTCAGTGGTGGATATCAATCACACAGACTGAACATTATACAAGAAAATTTCATATATAAATCCAGCAAATTACTACATGTCTGACAACTAACTTACTGACCTGCATTTGTTCACAGTTTATAGAAATAAATTTGTCAACTTAAAAAAGTAAGCACTCATCAAATTAACTGATATAAATAATAAATAAATTTTAATGATCATTGTTTGTCTACATGTGAAATAAGAGAATATGAAATAGTCACATTATTAAATCAAAGAAAATGCATTTAGCAAAAAGTGATGTAAGTAAAGTTCTTTCAGACAAATTTCTAGCAGATTATTGTGTGTAGACAGATTCATGCATATACACACATGCAAATAGATAAATAGATAGATGTTAACAAAATAATAGTGAAACAT